AAAAAAAAAAAAAAAAAAAGCATTTGAATAATTAATTACACATTTAAATTAGCCTGAAGGAATTATTTTTGTTCTCAGATGTGTGTATATGTTGTACATAAACATACAAATATGTTAAAATATAGGCAGAGCTTTTAAACATACACTGCAATTATGTGTTTTAGGAAGTTGTGAGAATTTTTATAGCAGAGATAACATAAAAAAATTCTTAACCCTGTAACATTGTATTAACTGTCAGTACAAAATGCTAAATAAAAAACTGTCATACTAATTGATGAAGCACACACTTGGAGAAGCTGGTTTCATTCACTAGGCAGCACTGCAGCTCATGACTGTGGCTGCCATCAACACTACAAAGTAACGCTGGTGGTGTATTGTGAGTTTTTCAATAGATATCAAGGCCTTTGGAAGCTCAGGGTATGGACACCACAGTGAGGGGTGAGAGGCAGCCTGCCCTTAAGACAGCCTGGGTCCAACTCGAAGAACGCAGCATCCACACGACACGAGCCAGAGGCTCATGGCTGAAGGAGTTGCAGAGACTCAAAGGGGCAGTGCTCACTTTTTAAAAGAAATGGTTGAGAAAGTTGGTTGTGCAGTAACGCATGCTGGTGAGGATGTGGAGAATGGAAATTGGTTCATGGTTGGTGGGGATGTAAATTAGTGTGACCACTATAAAGTGTGGCGGTTCCTCAAAAAACTAAAAATAGAACTGCCATGTGACCCAGCCATCCCACTGCTGGGTGTTTATTCAAAGGAGGGGAACTCAGTATATCTACAAGATCTCTGCACTCAGTGGTTACTGCAGCACTATTCACAGTAGCCAAGGCGTGGAGTCAGCCTACTGTCCTTCTCTGGATGACAGTACAGAAGTTACAGTGTGTGCATGTAATAGAACGCTGTTACATACAACCACAAGAACGAACGAAACCCTGCCCTTTGTGACATGGCTGGAACTGGAGAACTTCTGTTAAGTGAGTTAAGCCAAGCCCAGAAAGACAAATCTTGCATGTTCTCACTCACATGTGAGAGCTAAATATTAAAACCGTTTATCTTCTGGAGACAGAGAGTAGAATGACGGTTGCCAGAAGCTGGAAAGGGCGGTGGGAAGGGGCAATAAAGGGGGATGGTTAATGGGCACAAAAATGTAGTTAGATACAGTGAGCAATAGTTGATAGCACAAGTGACTACTGTCAACAGTAAGTTGAGGGGGGACTTTAAAATAACTACAGGAGAGGATTTGAATAGTCCTCACCCTCTTTCCCAAACTGGCCTGTCCTGTCTCCTCCAACAAAGAGATGCCAGTACTGACTCTCAGGACAGGACCCTTTCTCACCACTCTCCATAACCAACCCAGCAGCGCTGTTTTTGCTTCTGAAGTCCATTTCCCACTGTCCACTTTACTCCATCATGACTGACACAACCCTGCATTTATACAATCCCTGTGATGCTTTTCTGTCTATATTTTCAATTTTTGCTGCCCTACAATGCCTTTCAGCTCAGAATGATCTTTTGAAAATGCAGACGGCCTTCCTCTCCCTCCCTTTCTAGAAGATCCTGTCACCTTCCCAATTCATAATACCCCTTTCTCGGCACAGCAGAAGGGGCCCATTTTCCTGCCTCTCATTCTCATCACACCTTTGTTTCCTAGCTCGGCCTCTGCCTGACATATGAGCTGACCCATGGTCCCCTTGACTGAAGGGTTTTCTCACTCTTCAAAGTGGGTTCTATGCTGTCCTTGCAGAGGCTTTGTGTGAGTATCAGGGCTGAAGCAGACCCCTTCCCTGACCACGGCCTGCTTCACCTGTCACCCCTCTTTTGCCATCCCAGCCAGTAGCCCTGTGTAAAACCATCCCTTTATACCGTGTTTGCTTGTTTGATGTTTGTACTAACGCTGTCAAATGCAGGCATTAACAGGCAACGCAATAGGACTTTTAATTCCCTCTGGAGAGCAGAAAGCAGAGGTGGGGTGGGAGTCAAGCTGGTCAGGGTGGCAGTTTGCAGTGTCCAGTCCTGCTCTTTCATTCTTTCACACTACCGTGTCCTCCTCAGGCTGCTGACGTTAGTGAGAGCAGATGGCAGCCAGTGGGACGGCTGTCACCTGCTGACTTACACTTACTGGGAGACAAGATGTCTCTGCAACTGGTGTCCTCCAGTCAGACTAGGCCAATTGGCCACAAGTCCCCTGACTGTCACCAGGGAGAATGCTTTATGCTGGCTCCAGTGAGTCTTAGTTTGTGACCAAGTAAGGGGGATGAGTTTATTATGCTTGTCATGAGACTAATAAAAATTTAACCCCAGGGCTGAAGTCATCTAGTGAAATCTGTCCACAGCACTTTGTGGAGGAGGAGCGGGACCCAGTCTGCAGATGGCTGTCACCCACTCACATGTCTGGATGCACAGGAAGGGGTCGTGTGGGGCCCTGTCGGTCTTATCCTTCTTGCTTTGCCTCCTCAGCCAGAAAACAGCTTACTGAGAGCTGCCAGCAACAGAGCGCTGTGGGGTGGAGGGCAGGACTTTGGGCACATATTCTCCACTTGGGGTACTGCCTGTGGCGCGGCAAAGGAGGATTCAGATACAACCATGGTTGGTACCTCTCCAAAGCCCAGCCCTATCCAACAAAATCTCATCCCCTAGTATTGCTCTTAATAGGGATAATTTAGTTTCCTCCTTAAGGAGAGGGAGCAATAACTAACAAAAAATGAGAAACACTAAATAAAAGGATGAGGACACACCCTTAAAACAATGTAGGACTGATGGGGGAGAGTGAAGGAAACCAGGGAAATCTCAGAATTTCAATGGCTACTGAAAAGGCCATCCCAGATAGTTACGAGTAACAGATCCCGAAATACCCAGTGTCCTTCAGCTGGGCCCAGTGGTGTGCACTGCAGGCCTAGTTACTCAGGAGGCCAGCTTGAGCCCAGGAGATTCAGGCTACAGTGAGCTATGACCAGGCTACTACACACCAGCCTTAGTGACAGAGTGAGACCTCATCTGGGGGGAAAAAAAGAAATCTTTCTTTCAACTTATTCTCTTTAACTTCATGCCTGTAATCTTCTAGCACTCTGGGATGCTTGAGGCACGAGGATTCCCTTGAGCTCAGGAGTTGGAGATCAGCCTGAATAAGAGACCCCATCTCTACTAAAAATAGAAAAATAAGCCGGGTGTTGTGGTGGGCACCTGTAATCCCAGCTATACAGGAGGCTGAGGCAGGATGATCACTTGAGCCCAAGAGTTTGAGGTAGCTGTGAGCTATGATGCCACAGCACTCTATCTGGGGTAACAGACTCGGCCTCAGGAAAAAATCATGAATATGGCATTATATCTGGAACAGGAAAATCATCATTCATCTTTTAAAACAGACCAAAAGAAACATAGATGAGACTGGGGCTGGTATGTTTTAAGAACACAGTTATTGTACTAGATACATGTTTAAAAAACATATAATCGTTAGTGCAGTCACTACAGTGGGGAAATGCACTGGTGTGATATTCCAGTCACTCTGAGGGGAGAAACAGATTTACACTGCCTACGTTTCAAATACATATATTATTAATAATAAGGGCTAATTATTTGAATTAAATCAGAAAGTAGAGGAAAAGACATTCCAATTCAGTTTTCAACACTTCTGAAGTACATCTATCTGAAAAGCAGAAGAGGGCCAAGAGGGCTGCTGTGAGTCTGTTTTATTCGGGCCACAGAACGGGAAACTTCCAGGTACATGAAGGGATTGCTCTCAGTCCTTGCTGCTCACTGACACCAACAAGCAAGGTTGGCTACAGGCTACAGGCTATAGACGGCTTGGGTGAGTGAGCAGGCTTTGATAGGACCTGTCCAGAGTTCAGGGAAGACATCTTTAACAAACAAAGGTACCTCACCTTGAGAAAGTTTCCAAAAATACATTTTTCCTTTTAAACAGCAGTAACAAATGTTCAAACAACATTATATGAAATGTTTGGAGGCAACTCAGAAGATCAAAAATTCAACCAAAACTTCACAAATCTATATGCCTACAATATCTTTCACAACATCTTTAAAACTCAATGAGGGTTTTTGTTCAGGTATAAGCATTTAATTACTTTCCCAGAAAGTTCAGGATAAGAGTCTTCGCAAAAGACACAAAATGCTTTTGTTATTGAGTAGACGGTACATATTGATTACATTTTTAAGCTCTATGTCTAGTGATTTCTTTTATTGAAAACAAGTTTCTACTCCACCTCTCTCCTTAAGCAAGAAGCTAGTTTCATAACATAGGGGTTCACAACTATAGGGAAAAATAGTGTCCCCTGGGGAAGGTGAATTTTCTGGGAAGACAGGAAACTCATTCAATCAATCCCTTCAGTAGTCAGAGAATAACCATTTATTTATTTTTAATGATGTAGATTTGGAAGGGGGAGCTATATTCTAGACAGTTTTAAGAGTTTGCTTTCTCTTTTATTATATCCTTAAGACTCTTTGCATGTCTGAGATGGGCAGGAAACCCCTGACACTGACCGTCATGCTAGAAGACCCACTCTCAGGTCAGCAGGTTCCTCTTGAGGTCGCAGGGTGAGCATCACTTGCTTTGAGACAGAAGTGGCATGGGGACAGTCACTGTGGCCAGCAGGATGGTCTGACCAATATAGTTTATTTTAGGAGACTGTAGTTTTATAAACAGCATGAAGGGGTTTCCTGATTGCACATAGATACTTTCTGTGCAGCTGAAGAACCAATTTTTTTTTACATTGTATCATAATATCCTATCATTAAAACATTATTTAGTGAATTTTTTTCCAACTACATATGAGCAGACATTTACCACACGCATGGTGCAAGAATGTCTTTAAAACATATTTGAATCACAAAATTTGGATCTAAAATATGTCACTGTAATTAGAACACTACTTTAAACTACAATGATCCATGTCATAGTAGCCAGATTGGATGATCCCCTGTATAAATCACAAAAGAGTTTGGTGAATAACTTCTCGGATAACTGGCAGCAGCTTTTAACTATGATTTCAAAAGAAATCTTTAAGAATCAAACTTTCACAATTAAAAAGCTTCCCTTATATGTTCAAAGTTCTCAGAGTCAAAATGGGACATTTAAAAATGTATAGTCTTTAAAACAAGGAAAATAAATCCAACCCTCCTTTAGCTGAAAGGCTGGAGCTGTAATATTTAGGTTTCGTAGAAACCTAAGTATATATAGTATTACATGACAGTGGAAATGAATTACAGAGAAACATAAAATTTCTTTTAAAATGTCTCCGGTTCCTCGGCCCTCCCCCACCTCTGTCAAACAGAGAAAGGGCACCTTGTTACAAAGGAGGGTATCCCGTGAAATGATGTAAACAAATGAGAGAGAAAGATTTCTTCATTTTCCTATTTTGTGGAGTAGGGCAGTGGGATAATAGCAGTTAAATAAGAAAAAGAGCCCCTAATCAAAGAATCACTTTACCACACACAAAACAGCTAGGGGCAACTGCTGAGAGCTTCTCATATGTTTCCTTCCCCCCCCCCCCAAGTTTGAGAATGTTTAAAAGTTCAATAAATAGTAGAAAAATAATCCTTTACTTAGAAATTTTGAGATGCATCATTTTGAGCTCATGTGAGTTCCATACAGCAACTGGTATCCAGGTCTCACGAGGCAACTAAGGGTCAGCCCTGCAACTAAGGGTCAGCCCTGCAGCTCACATCCATCCAGACGGGCCTCGTCCCAGGTGCTGGCTGAGAGGACGTCTCTCTCCAGCTAAGGAGATCTGAATGCTTCTGGCTCCTCAGAACATTCCTCTGGCTCAGCTTCACTCACGGTTCCGCCTGCGTCTGGAGGTTGCCTGCTGTTCTGCCCATCATGTGATGGCAGGTTCATTAATCAGCTCTTTCCCCTCCATTTCAAAACTAGCTTCATTCTTCACAAATGTGATTTTGGTTGTTGTTTCTCTTGTTTCTTAAACATGACAGGCAGGAAATGAGTTAAAACACTCGGGACAAAGCACAAACACAGGGGGTCCCCCTGCTGTGGGCTTTAAGCTGGATCTTTTTTCTTTCCAGAACATTCTGTATCTCCCGTTCCCATCTTCCCGTGGAGGTGAGGGGCTGTTAGCACTCGGCATCAACAGTGTGCACCGTCACGGCCGCCTGTAGGTGGTGGCTGTGGTGGAGAGTGGGGTGGTGCGGCCGGTAGTGGTGGAACTTGTGGCTGAGGAGGGCAGCGGTCTGAGGTGGGGCATCCACGTCCAAGTCCTCGTCGTGGCTCCCCACATCGACACCAGCTGACAGGGGGTCACTGTTGCATGGAGGGTTTTCACTGTCCTCCTGTGGGCTCATGGTGCTGTAACCTATGGAAGGAACAGAACAACACACCGCTGAGAGCCCAGACATGCAGCGAGAGCTCACTCAGAACTTCTTCCACCAGAGAGGGTTCCTACCTTTGGGAGACACAGGTGCAAACATTTGTAGACTTTCTGTAGACTTTCACTTTTCAGTGAAAAGTAATTTATTTATTTATTTATTTATTTATTTTTTTGAGACAGAGCCTCAAGCTGTCCCCCTGGGTAGAGTGCCGTGGCATTACAGCTCACAGCAACCTCCCACTCCTGGGCTCAAGCGAGTCTCCTGCCTCCGTCTCCCAAGCAGCTGGGACCACAGGCGCCCGCCACAACGCCCGGCCATTTTTTTGGTTGCAACCGTCATTGTTGCTTGGCGGGTCCGGGCTGGGGATTCGAACCCGCCACCTTAGGTGTACGTGGCTGGCACCTTAGCCGGTTGAGCCACAGGCGCCGAGCCAAAGTAATTTATTTTTAAAGATAACTAGAGATAACCAGTTTTTATCTCCCTTAAAACAACTATATAATATATAATCAATTTAGATAATTGACAAAGTATGGAGAGGAAAAATAAACAAGAACCCTCACCCCAAATCCCCAAACTGAAAACACAAAATCACTCCACATCCATCATCCACAGATAGCCACCACTGGCATTTGGAGAAGTAGCCTCCTATGCTTCTCCCCAAGATAAGATTGTCTTTTATTAAAGAAATCCAAAAAGTTCACATCCAGCCACCACATGCCCCTCAACGGCCTGCAGGGGTGCCCACTGGCAGATCATGCATGCAAATGTGACCTCAGACCAAAAGGAGCCAGAGACCAAATGGAAAGAATACAGTGTAATTTACAGGTCAGCTCCTGAAATTGGCAGAGGCAACAAGTGTTTATTAGTTTATCCTTTGCAGACTGAGTCTTGTGTCAAAAAAAGATGAACAAATGGGTTCTGTGAATGATGAATTCCCTGTGAAACTTTGAAAAGGCGGACCGTTGGGAAATTAGGGATTGTGTCCTTTGCTATTGGAAATGTGGTTAGATGATTAATATATTCAAGAAAAAACCAAACTAAAACAAAAATAGATGCAGCTTTAAAAATAAGATACGAAAGGGATTCTAGTCAGTTATAGGGTGTCAGGGAAATTTGGGCTTCAAAATGCTGGAATGTGATGCCAGAATGACAACAAGGAACTGTCACCACCACCTGCCCCCGAGCAGGTGACTGTTAGGGAACTCTTGTGTATCAGTGACACGTGTATTCTAGTTCCCACTTTATTAGTGATGATCAGAGAGGTTAAAGAACTTTTCCAAAGTCTTCATACCTAATGAAAACTAACTCCACATATACCCATAGCAACTCGCAAAGGAACTAACTATTCCCTGTGCAAGCTGGCTCACTGTATTTAAAGATTAATTTCTCTTGGTATTCTAAGTAATACATGTTGCAAAGGAAAATGCCCTCGTTGATCAAAGAATTCCATTCCAAGAACTCTGGCATGTTTTTAAATATTGCAAAGATATTCTTTAAATGTTGCAAAGTGACAGCTCATTATTATTTCTGCTGCATCTCCAGTTAGCAGCCAGCAGCACTTGCTGTGGGCTGTGCTGCTCACACTGCTGGCTGCAAAATTGATGTGCTTGCACATAGCCAAGCAGGGGTAGTTCTGTGGTTGCAGTTGTATGCTCTATGCAAAGATGAGAAAGGTAATTCTCTGTCCTCAATGAAATACCTTTGGATGATAGAATTATTTGTTAGTCTGATTCACAAATATGTGTGGATCACCTATTATGTACAGGTCACTGTGGCAGGTGCTGGAGGTAACACAAAGATGGAAACCTGGTCCCTGCAAAAGGCTGTGAAAGCTGGTGTTCGAGAAATGGAACAAGCACGAGCACAGGCCATTCAATTATTTATTGGAGGTTACTAGGCGCTGCAGGGGCAGGTGTGGAAACAGCAGTAAGAGGCATTTTCTTTCCTTAATAACTGTACAACTGAGCAGGACACAGATGTTCACAAAGTGTGTCTTCCTTTAATGCAGATAACAGTAAATGCTGTGATTGAGATGTAAGTGAGACCTAGAAGAGGGAATACTAACTCTGGCTGGGAGAATGAGGAAGCTTCACAGAAAAGTCCATATTTAAGATGAGCTTAGGGAGGCGAACGAGCATTTGATGAGTGCATGTGAACAAAGAAGCAGGGTGAACACAGCCACAGGGGCATGGCAATGAACCTGTTCCTGTGGCACGTGGCCTGGACAAGTGCTAGTAGGTAACTGGGGAATAGGGCAGGTGGAAGGTGGGAAGGAGAGTTCAAATCAAACCATAAAGCTTGTGCTGAAGGGTAGAAAATGGAGAGATAACATAACATTCTCAACAGATCAAAAATAGCATGAAGCTTTCTTACTCAGAGAGTTCTAGTGGCAGCTGGGAGGGTGAGTGAAAGGAAATGGGAGCAGTTAGGAGGATTTTGCAATATTCCAGATGAGAGATGATGAATTAAAACCAGCACAGTGAGGCTGGGTGTGGAGACCATGCCAGTGATCCCAGCACTAAGGGAGGTGAGGCAGGCAGATCACTTGAGTTCAGGAGTTTGAGAGAGACCAGCCTAAGCAAGAGAAAGATCCCATCTCTACTAAAAATAGAAAAACTAGCTGGATGTTGTAGAGGGCACTTGTAGCCCCAGCTACTTAGGACATTGAGGCAGGAGGAGCACTTGTACTCAGGAGTTTGAGGTTGCTGTGAGCTGTGACGCCGTGGCACTCTACCCAGGGCAACAAAGTAAGACTCTGTCTCAAAAAAAAAATAAATAAAAATAAAACAAGCAGTATCAGACTGGACAGATTTAAGTGCTATTACAGAGAGAGAGAAAGGACAGCAGTTGGTGAACCAGCAGGTGTAGGTGGTTATAGGAGGTGAGGGCTAGTTAAAGATGGCAACTTCAAGTCAGGCTGATGAGAGAGGGTGACACAGATGCCCTGAGTCTCAGGAAGGAAAACAAACTCTGTTTTTACTCATTTTGATTTAGAGAGTCTGGGGGTCACACAGGTTGAGCTATTTGGCCAGAAAGTTGGAGGTGTCATCTGAGATTCAGGACAGGAGAGGGAAGCTCGCTGACATTTCTGTGGTGGCTGGTGCCTCTTGGTGCCAGTGCAGGCTGGAGGCAGAGCAGGAGGGTGAGGGGCCCCAGCCTGGTAGTCACAGTCAGGGGTGAGAGGCACCCTTGTGCTCGAATGGGCTCATTGAAAGGAATTCCACAGCCACTGGATTGGCCAGCAGGTGGCCCTGAAGGGAAAGGTGCTCACCAGGTGGAGAGAGGCTACAAAGGCACTTCTGTACGTTCAAAGGCTTGGGACTGGGGAAGGGAAGACCTGGTTTGGGCAGGGCTTGTGGGAGCCTAAGATCAGCTGGAGAAGGCTGGTCAATCAGCGGTAGGCACAGTGGCCACACCTATAGTCCCAGTGCTTTAGAAGGTAGAGGCAAGAATGAGGATGCTGTGAGCTGTGACGATGCCACTGCACTCCAGCCTGGGCGACACAGCAAAATCCTGTCTCAAAAACAAATAAGAAACCAAACCAAACCAGCCCCCCAAACAGAAGGTGGCCAGAGCTATGAGGTAGGAATAATGGCAGTGGTGGCAGGTGGGTGGTGATGAGGAGGTTAGTGATCTCAGAAGGTGAGATCAGAAGCTCAGGACAGAAGGCAAGGGTATGGGCCTCAAGGCTGCAGAAGGACCTGCAGTGGACAGCTGCCTGGTCCGGAAGTGGATCTAGCAGTTGCTTCAAGACACTGTTCAGAGAGTGGGCTGGTAAAGATGCCTGGGAGGCTGCCAGCCTGGGACAAGGTTGCATTTTCTGGGTTCAGAGCTTGGGGAAACAGTGATGCCTTTCCCAAGATTACGAGACCAGGTTCAGAGCTTGGGGAAACAGTGATGCCTTTCCCAAGATTACGAGACCAGGAGCCAGAACAAGTTTCTCAGTGGTGACAGTGCTAAGTCTAGAACATGAGCCTGGACACCAGGCTCCACATCACCAGGCGCTGTGTGTGAGCCACGTTCTGCTGTATGTGCAAAGGATGAAAGTAGAAACAGGATTTTAGCAAAATCCGTGTTTGTGTTGATTATTCAGATACCTCCTGGACAGTTTCCCATCTCTGCTCATTTAAAAGCACCCACACTAACAACTCACATCATCATGAGGTATTAAGAAGATCGTGGTGACCCTTGTGCTTGGTCAGCTCAGGGCCCACTTCCCTCACGTTATGAAGGTTTCTGACATCTTCCCAACCCTTGCCTCGCCCGCTGGCCTGCAGAACGGCTGGTGCCCTTCTGCATATATCTCTATCTTAGATTCTGCACTACCACAATAAAAACAAGGCCATGTGTCCACTAGCAAATTCTTTCATAAAGCACAGGCATGTGTTTATGGTCTGGCATTTAACATAGCACATCACACAAAGCAGGCACTTACAGACAAAAGCAACACCTCCCACATGCTAGGTTCCCAAAGCAAGCGCACCAGTGATTTGTTTTTTGTTTGTTTTTTAGTTATCTGTGGCTTTGCTTGGCATGACATTCACTAGTCTCACCTAATAAGACATTCTGGGACTCACTGGTCCCTGTCAGGCATCTGACTGAAGCAAGGGTGCTCTGAAGCCGGCTGGCACAGGTCCTGGCCCACCCCAGGGAGGTTGCAGAGGTAGTGCAGGTACCTGTGAGGACTATGTGGCAGGGGGTCCCCCTTCTTACTGATTTCTAAGGAGACTCCAGCATAGGCCCTTTCAGAGTGAAGCCCTCACAGTGAACCCATTCCATTTAATTTTCTCACTATGATACTCTGTAATTTCCTCTTATTTCAATAATTAATGAAAGCAAGTTGTGGAGAGGCAGGAGAGAGCAACACATTTCCTCATCTAACAAACTGTTTACCCAGTGTCAGGCGATCCTGCTGTGCCGAGAGCAGGGAGGAGTTCAGAGATGGGCCCTGACTGTGAGCACAAAGGCACCTGCAAACACACCCAAAGGGAAAGTGTCTACACTCTCCAAAGCAGGGGTCCTCAAACTTTTCAAACAGGGGGCCAGTTCACTGTCCCTCAGACCGCTGGAGGGCTGGACTGCTGGACTGCGGACCCTGGGATTAGTCAGCTGCTAAGCAGGACAGGCAACGGCGGCAAAAACACCTGGCGGGCGGATAAATGTCCTCTGCAGGCTGCATGTGGCCCCCAGGCTGTAGTGTGAGGATGCCTGCTCCAAAACCTAAGGCACCAAAGTGTCTGCAGAGATGGCCTCAAGCAGGAGGCAGCCTTCAGGAAGAGGCCGGGTGTCAATAAAGAACAGAAGGGCTAAGATGAGGTCTCTGCTCCACACTCCAGCAACCTGTTTACCTGACAGTTCCTAAGACCCCCCACTGTGAGGACACCAGGCCCCTGGGACTCTCCCCACCTCGTGGCCACAGATGGGAACTGCAGGAAGCTCCCTGCATGGCACAGAAAGTGGTCTCATGTCCACCTACCTGGTTTCCAATCAGGTTTTCAAGGTTTTCCCTTTCAAGTATTTTGAAATTTGCCAAAAACTGGGGGAAAATTCTCCTTTTGAAAGGAAAAAAGGTTGCTTAATATATATTTTCACTGCTTAATAAGATAGTGACCAAAATATGAATTTGTAAGGAGCAAGTACATAGTATATATTTGGCATATTTTAACTTAAAAATAAGCCAGTAGATGATTAGACAGAACGTGATATTTTTAAGAGAACTAATGAACAAAGCAGATACATGATTAAAAGCACCTGTAGATGGTAACTGTTTCTAACCTCTACTAGTCATAACAGCTTGCTGAAAAATACTCATTCTAAGTGGGCTTAGAATACTGATCAAAATGATTCTATTGTGAGAAACACTAAATTTGGGTAGGTTTTCTTTCGCAATACAAAATTAAAATTAGATTCCTTTGAAATACAAAACTCTGGCCAGGCTTGGTGGCTTATGCCTGTAATCCCACAGCTTTGGGAGGCTAAGGAGGGAGGATCACTTGAGACCAGAAGTTGGAGGATGCAGTGAGCTATGATCATACCACTACATTCCAGTCTTGGTGATAGAACATGATCCTGGCTCAAAACAAAACAAATTAAAAAAAGAAGAAGAAAAGAAACAAAAACTCTTTCGGTCATACACATTATTAATATTTCTAAGTAAAAACACAGCCTGAAGTTTCCAAGATTAGCTTGGAACTAACAACATTCAGTTTTAATTCTAGGAACATCATAGCTATGTACCACACCACAGAAGTGGGGAGTGCTCAGTGTTTTCTTTAATGTGCCATACCCAAGGAGTGCACAGCAATGTGCTTGTGGGCTGGCATAGAACCACAGCACCATGATCCCACCAGTCAGCACCACACACTGCCATGGGGTCTTCACAATTTATCTGCAGACAAGACCAACTGTTCTCTTTCTTCTTTGTTCCACTCCTTTCAGGAAGCTGTCACATTCTACCTGTTATCAGTCTTATGAACACATGGATTCAATTCCAGTTTCCTCTTAATCATAAATTCCTTTGGGGGAAGGTGGACATGTAGGTAGAGAGGTGATCCTGAGCTCCAAGTAAGTCATTTTGCTTAATCTTCATAATGATTTTACCAGGCAGGAATTTCTAATCCTACTTTGAAGTATTGGAAAACTGAGGTCCAAAGTAGCTTGCTTAGGTCTCAATAGATTTAGGAGAAAAAGGGAGGGGGGAGTGGGATTCAAAGTGAGCTGGACTTGACTCCATCTCCTTAGCTCTCCCTGGTGGTACCTGCCTTGCGGCAAGGACAAGTCTGCCATCTCTGACTTCCTCCTTGGTACTTAGCATGAGCTTAGTCATGCATCACTCAAGGATAGAGACAGTCTGAGAAAAGCACCTTTTGGTGATCAGGTCATTGTGCGAACACTGTTGTGCTCCAGCCTGGGGCTGACTGCCCTGGACACAGACCTGCATAGTGCGCAGAACGCCGCAGGTGGCCGTGACACAGTGGCGAGTATGTGTCTAAACACATCTCAACAAAGAAAAGGCACCGTTCAAAATTAATTAATTTTGACCAAAGTACATTACTTAAACATTAATTTTCAATTCAACTTGCTAATATGTTGTTTAGGATATTGCATCCTCATTTATAAGTGACATATGTTTGTAATTTCCTCTTTATAATAATATATTTTTTCCAATTTTAGTATCAGGTGTATCCAGATTAAGTAGAATGATTTTGAAGTATTTCTTCTTTTTCTATTGTCTATAAGATTTGGCATGATCTGTTTTTTGAAATTATCTTTTGCTATAAATATTATTTATCTATTTTTTGAGGCTTTGGAAAAAAAATATAAGAAGTTAACTGATGACTCCATACTGAACCTCAGAGTCAAAGCATTCTATAATAGACATACTCTTATTTGACAATGTGAATGTTACTTTCTTTGCATTATTATTATTGCTTAATATTTCGATGCAGCAATCATTTGATTGCTTTTCTGAACGTATTTATCTTCATTCGTTCTTTACGAGGTTTTTGTTTCTAGTCCTAATCTTAAACATTGTTATTGTTATAAAAAAAAAAAGAAAAGGCACAGTGAAAACACAGTACAAAGGGTTAATAAGGAGGGGCAGTGCCTGTGGCTCAAATGAGTAAGGCGCTGGCCCCATATGCTGGAGGTGGTGGGTTCAAACCCAGCCCCGGCCAAAAAAAAAAAGGTTAACAAGCAGAACACCTGTGTGGGACACTCGTCGTGAGTGGAAGTTGCTCTGGGTGGTCAGTGAGTGAGGCTGAGGGCAACACCACACACCACTGATGCAGTTAAACACTGTACACTTTGGTTGCACTAAATTTACAAACACATTTTTTTTCTATTTTCAATAATGTATTAATCCTAGCTAACTTTTTTACTTTAAAGACTTTTTAATTTTTTGACTCTTTAACAGCACTTAGCTGAAAATGCAGACGTGCTGCACAATTATACAGAAATGTTTTCTTTCATCACACCCTTATTTTATAAGCTTTTTCCTATTTAAAAACAATTTTCATTTTTAGTCTTTAAACTTTTTAGTTGAAAACTAAGACAGGCACCCACATTAGCCTAGACCTGCACAGGGTCAGAATTGTCGGGACATCACTGGGTGACAGATGTTTCTCAGCTCTGCTAAGCTCTTGTGGGTCCCTGCTGCCTATGTGAAGCTCAGCTACTTGGTGCATGAGGGGACAAGGCAGGAGCCCAGTACGTCCAAACAGGAGAAGGCAGAGATAAGCAAGGAACGTGTTCACAAAACAATTATATTTCCTCACTCAAGGCGCACAGCTTTGCCTCTAGGCATCCCAGGGACGTCAACTTGAAGTGACCCGTGCACATGTTCAAGGGCTGACAACACGCAGTTAAACCCTGTGCATCAGAGGACACACCTGCAGTGTGTCTCACCTCACTGCTTCCACTGCTCCTGGAGCTGCATTCTGTCTGCACAAAAACTATTTTTCATTCCTTGGGGATAACAGGGATCCAATTATTGTGAAAAATGAAAGAAACCAAGCCCTTAGCTGGCACTGTGGCTCCAGACACACAGCGCCGTTCCTTCCATCGGAGCTTTGGCTTCGTCAGCCACTTTACTAAGACAGTGGGAGAGGCTAATAAACATTGCACATGTCACTCAGAATCCCAATTTGGTACTGGCACAATTTCTATTAGGAGGAGAGGGAAAAAGGATTATTTCTGCTGAATAAGAAATTATTTCTGTTGAACTTTAGTGGCCTCAAATCTGTTTTGCTATTAAAAGAAGACACAGAACTGCCTGGCAGCAGGAATTTATGCAGGTTGAAAGGAATTTAGCAAAAAAGTCAGAAAGTCAAAGAAACTGAAAAATTTAAGTTCAGCTTTGGCTCTCCATGGAAACCCAAAGTTTTTATTTAGTTGGTGGGAACAACGTCACTCAAAGCCCAAAGGAATGATCTCCAATTTATGAAAGAGAGCCCTAGCTTCCCCAGCTCCCACAGGAAGTCTAAATACCCAGCTGCGATGTGAAAGGTTACACCGGGTACATGCAAGATTTTGTCTTTTCAGGAAACGTTGGAAGAAGCTAAGTCAAAAAGGCCTAAATATATCATTTATGCATTAATAAGAGGCCTGATTCTGGGAAGGAAAGTAAAGATTTCTAGAAAATTAAAGACAATCTTTAATTTATTATCTTAAGACAATAAATAGATTCATGAATGATAGGACAAGTCCTGCTACACTTCTGTGGCGCCCAGCAGGGACGTCACATGCTTGGTCACATTTGCTGTTCTTTGTGACAACAGCACCATGGATACCTCGGACAGAAGCAGAAGCTGTCATGAGGAGAAGCGTGAGTCCAGGGGAGAACTGGAAGCCATCACGGGGTCCTTAGCACTTGTGTTCCTAAACTATTCAGCCCAACTGGCCTGAGAACCTTTCAGGTGCATCACGTCACGCATGGCTCTGAGCACCATGTGTCTCTTTGGCTCTAATATCTTTTACCCCTAATTTCTCTTTAACCATCCCTCCAGGCCCACTGCAAATGTCACTTCTTTGGTAAAACCACATTTGAGCCTCCCAGACAAGGAAGGCCAGAGGTCAGAGCTGAGGATGCAAGAGGACGGCAGACCCCGCCCTGCCCAACATGCCAGGGAAGCCCTCGCATGCAGATGTCTCGCCCCATGCTGGACAGCGGGCCCTAACAGGATGCCGACTCCACTGAGAACTGTGGGCTAGCGAGCAGCTTCCACTCAGATGACATGAGTCCCTCTCCATAGAGAAACAGATGCAAGTTTGCTTCATGCCCATTGGTCCTCTGACTGTGCCCAAGTGTCGGACACGAGCACAAGTGCTTCGGGGCTCTAAGAGTTTACTGAAACCCAGACCAGGGAAGAGAGAGGGAGGCAGGTGTGAGCACTGGCCTACAGCCTCCAGACCAGGAGCTGCCCTTACCGTGGTCACTCTCTGTCCCTGACCGGCCCCAGTAGCGCCGCCTCCGTTCTGGGCTGTGTGCGTGTCGCTCGATGACTGCAGCTATGAACCGCGTGTTGCTGACTGTGGGAAGCCAAGGATAGGCAGTGTCACTGCTGGTCCTGTGTCTCCACTGTTTGAAGCACACGTGCTCTGAGTGGGCTCATTAGTACATGGGGGAGTTCTTCTTTGGAGAGCCAGAAAAGTAATTTAAAAAAAATTCTGAGTATTATGCCAGGCAGGGTGGCTCACACTTTAATCCTAGCACTTTGGGAGGCTCAGGCCAGAGGATCCCTTGAGCTCAGGAGTTTGAGACCAGTCTGAGAAAGACTATCTCTACTAAAAATAGAAAAATTAGCCAGGTGTTGTGGCAGACCCTTGTATTCCCAGCTATTGGGGAGGCTGAGGCAGGAGGATCACTTGAGCCCAGGAGTTTGAGGTTGCTATGAGCTATGATATCAGAGCACTCTACCCAGGAAGACAGAGTAAAACTCTCTCTTAAAAAAAAAAAATCTGAGTATTAGGGGAGCTGATTTCAGAACGGGTGCAGTGAGAGGTGCTCAGTTATATCCAGAAGCTGTGCTCTAGGCAGCTGGAGGTCAGGATAGCTCAATATTACTGGAGCTCTCATTTAATAAAGAAATGTTCTTCCTTCCAACCCAATGTTATAGATATTTAAGGGATTAAAAATGCATACCTGAACTTCTCTTTCTAAAATACTATGTTGGGGCTCAGTGCCTGCAGCTCAAGTGCCTAGGGTGCCAGCCACATACACTGGAGCTGGCAGGTTCAAGCCCAGCCTGGACCTGCCAAACAACAATGATAGCTGCAACCAAAAAAATAGCTGGGCATTGTGGAGGGCGCCTGTAGTCCCAGCTACTTGGGAAGCTGAGGCAAGAGAATTACTTAAGCCCAAGAGTTGGAGGTTGCTGTGAACTGTGATACCACAGCATTCTACCCTGGGCAGGATAGTGAGACTTTGTCTCAAAAAAACCCAAAACAAAACAAACAAAAAAACTATGTTGGAATGTAATGAGGAAGAGAAAAAAAACACCCGCCGTGTCAAAGCATACTGAATTTTAATACAAGCCAAAAGGCCGTGGGGAAGAACATGTGTTTGGATGGGCCCTGCTGACGTGGCTCGGTGGGCGGCCGGGTACTCACTGATGCCTCTGTCCTCGTGGCCCTCGTCATCCCTTTCATCTCTGTCGTTCTCCAGGTTGGACATACGCACTGACATTTCTACCATCATTAAAAAGAGAGAAACATGACTATTTAATCAAACAAAATCACCCGCTTTCATACCCTGCTGAGTGCTGCAGTGATGGCCGGGTGACAGCATTCCAGGATCCTGTCGTGGAAAGAGCAAACACAGGCCCCCCTTTTCTTAGAGGAGGAGGGGTCAGGAATCCAAAGAGCAGGCAGGGAACAATCAAGGAGGCGCCTGAAACTGATTTCTGAAGGAAGAGGAGGAAAGAAGTTGATTGAGGCCAACAGATATTTAATCCTCCACTGAAGTACAGAACCAGGAAAGGGGTCGAAACTGTGGCCGTGCTGATACAACGGCGTCACAAAAGCTCCTAAAAGGCTAGGGATGAAGGTCATCCTCCCTCTAGTCATACCGGGCCAAGGGGCAAGTATCTTGTGATTATCCCTATACTAAATCAGGCCACATCACCCCACAATCCCCCTTCAGGACTATGGCACAGGGAACAGCCCAATATCAACCTGTCATCACTGCCTGCGAGGGTTAGAGCTGAGTGGCTGGGAAGAAGGACCATCAGCCTCACCTCCACAGAGGCCAGGTGAATAGCCCTGGGCCTGGGGCTTCAAGAAGCATGGGGCTGACCATTAAATGGTTTAGTTCCCACCAGATGAACACATTCCACACTAAAGCTCTCAATTGGAGGCCCTGACTATAGATTAACACTTTGAACTTGGTTTCAATCTCTTATTCTGCTTTAAGAGACTTGATTACGCAAATGGTGCATTTATTCCCACTATGAAAGGTGGCAACACCACCACAGGACATGTTCCTGCTAGCAGTGACCTGGGCATCTCTGATGCAGCCTTGAGGGCTTCCCCACCAGTTGGGAACCCACTCAGTATCCCCAGTTCCCAACTGGTGGTTATAGGGACAGAGGCTGCTGAGAGCCAGTGATGTGAGGAGTGGAGGGTCCAGGGATTTTCTGGGGAACCAGAGAAGACTTGCAGGACGTAGGCACTAAAGAGCCAGGCTTTGGGGACTCCACAGAAGCAGAAAATGTAGCACTGTCCTTCTGTTTCCACAAGGGGCCTTGTTCTTCCCATTCTGAAACAGCCCTAGGGGGCTGCTGCCCCAATTGCTCTGGGATCCACGGGGCTCACCCTGGGCAGCCAGAGGGGACATGTGCTGGTGGCTGCGACGGTGGGTCTGGCGGCGGTAGGCGTACACTGCGAGCACCAGGACCATGATGCAGCCCATGATGCCTCCGGCCACGGGGCCCACGGGGGCGCTTTTGATCATGCTCAGTGTGATCACCTCATCACCTGCAAGGAAGGAACAAAAAGAGGCTCTGTGTTATGATGCCCTGAATGTGGAAGGTGATGGGTGGCAGGGGTGTGTGTGTGGTGGTGGTTGGCAGGAGGAGGAACAGCCCCAGAGTCGGTGGGGATAGAAGCAGCTGCCGAGCTGTGGATCCTCAGAGCCTTGCAGAACTGTGTATGCGCTTGTGTGCAGGCATGTGTGCACATGTCCGCCTGTATATGCACATGTGTGTGCCTGTCTGTGTGCATATATGTGCGTGTGTGTGGGGATTAGGGCTCCATTTAACCCCTGGTTCTCAGATGTTGGCTGGTGGGCTGACAAGAACATATAGGGTGCTGATGGCCAGGGCAAGAGAACAGAGGATGACGCCCACTCAGACCATAGTACGTGCCCAAGAGTCTACAGGGTCCTGGCTCCCTGGAGCGTCTCTTGAAAGACAGAAAAGGTCCCCTAGTACTGAGGCAGGGCCCACATGGTCCTCTTCAGGGGTCACAGGGTCAATCCACCAAGATCGGTGGCACCAGGTCCAAAAAACATGCGTCTGACAGATCAAGTTCCAAAGCTTGTGGATTCCCTTTGAAATGCCATCTCTATGTTACAGATGGGAAGCTCTAAGCAGCATCTATAGTGATTCTTGGAGCTTGGTAACCCCAATGATGCCCTCGTCTGGCTCAGTAGCAAAGTCAGTGCAAAGCCCTTCCTTCCATATGGACTTAACTTCTAGACAGGCTGATATAAGAGATAGCAAAAATCAAGGTATTAGCTAAAGGCTTAAATATTTGAATCAAATACCAGCTAAGAACTAGGAATTGGTGTTAATTTTAGAAAGGCACACACACACACACAAAAAGCCCAGGTATCAGAGCTTTTTGTAGTCTCCTTGGAAATACTTTCAAGGTCTTGGAGACTGACCACAGGGGCATCCTCCCCGTTAGGACCCTTATCCTCCACTCTAGGCTGCCAAGCTGCACGTTGCACTAGGTAGCTCTGGCTTCTGTGGACCCTCAGGTCCTAAATACTGTTTTGTTGCCATCAGACTCCTGCTTTGCAATAAGGTGAGTGAAGACTGCTGCAGGACAAGGTGTGTGTGGTCGCCTGCACATCAACCTTGTGCTCTGAGCACCTCCCCCCACAACCAACATAGCAGAGTTCAGCCACGTGGAAACCAGGCCTGATACTTCTCAGAGCAGACTTTATGGGAATGAGTCCCAGGCCTGCAAAATTTGGCAGGACAGTGGCCACTCACTCTCTCTGCACAGAGTATCTAGCCAGCTCTGCCTTGGTTTTATAACTAAAGACTCCTGGCAAAGGAATCAGGAAAGTTGGGCAGAGGATTATTTATTTTGAGACTTTCTAGTATATGGGTGGGAAAACATATATTCAGGAATCAAATCATTCCGGTTCCCAACAGACATACCTATTGCCCCAATGTCATCTACATAGGGACTTTTGGCTCCCACGATCCCCCCAAAGCACTCCTTCTGGGGTGCACAGTATGGTTTGTCCAGGTGAGTCTTCCCATCACTGTCTACCATGCACCACTCACAGTCCAGCACCCCAAAACAGTCCCTGCAAGAAAGACAGAGCTTAATATCCCAGGAGGCAGTGGGTGGGGCTCGCACTTGATCTTCAGATAGTCCTCAGGTCTCCAACACACACCAGTTTTCTTCCCTTCCAAAAGAATAGCAACTTTTCACCAGGGGAGAACTGTTCTGTGCCTCTCAACAGCTTGGAAGAGAGAGAAATGAAATTATGACACCCACACATCATAGATTAATGGGTGGTTATTCAAAATCATCTTAAAAGATCAAATGGAAATGGCTTCAAGGTTTGTTAGACTTTAGCCTACCATCTCTCAGTGTGTCTTTTTTTTTTTTTTTGAGACAGAGTCTCACTCTATCAACTTGGGTAGAGTACTGTGGAATCAGAGCAACCTCAAACTCTTGAGCTCAAGCGATCCTCCTGCCTCAGCCTCCTGAGTAACTGGGATTACAGTCACCCACCACAATGCCCAAGTAGGTTTTTCTATTTTTAGTGGAAATGGAGTCTGGCTCTTGCTCAGGCTGGTCTTGAACTCCTGAGCTCAAGTGATCCACCCACCTGGGCCTCCCAGAGTGCTGGGATTACAGGTGTGAGCCATCGTGCCCAGCAGTGTGTAATCACTTTTTAAAAGGGGACGGAATTCATAAGAAAGTTTAGAGAATACGAGGCCAGTCATGCAGATCTCCCTACTGCAGGTTTCCGAGCTTTTACTATACTATAGTCTGTGCATTCTGACTCTCTTTTTTCAGGATATAAAAGTATAAGTATTTTATATCAGAGAAAGGGAAGAGAGTTGGGGGAAGAGATGAGAAAGAGAGAGTCGACCGAGAACAGACAGCAGGGAGTGAGAGAGGGAAAATGGGGGGAGGGGGTAGAAAAGGAGAGAGGCGAGGCGTCCCAGAGAAAGGAAGGAAGAATGTACAATGTCAGTGTTTCCCAGACTTAACTGTCCTGGGGTGATGGAATAACAACACCCTGAACTAAAGCAGTCTGATGCCACGTCTTTCCTTTGCTAAATAAAGTGCACACCAATGTAGGGCGGGTTGTCCCTTCTACACACTAACTGCTTAACCAATAGCAACCTGCAGCTGCAATAAACCAGTCACACCCCAACTCAGCCTGCCATAGCCAGTCTCCATAGTCCAAAACACCTGCCCCCACCCAGGAAGTGGGGAGGGAGCAGGGGGCAAGTGGTAAGTAGTTTTTACGTCTCAAAACTACCATGAAGCAGAACTGCTTCCAAAGGAAGGAAAATTAATGAGCTTTGAAAGATCACACATGGAGGCTGGGCAGAGGGGCTCTCGATGTAGTCCTAGCACTTTGGGAGGCTGAGGCAGGAGGATTCCTCGAGCCCAGGAGTTTGAGATTATAGTGAGTTAGGCTGATGCCACTGTATTCCATTCTAGCCCTGACAAGAAAGCAAGACTCTGACTCAAAAGAAAAAAAAAAAGAAAACAAAAGAACATGCTCACACACAGAGCCCTGAATGCTGGGCCTGTTTCTGCATTCCAGGGGCTCTTCACACCACACCCCATGTGCTTCGTTTCAAGAAAGCCTTTCCTAGCCACACGAGACTACTAACATGTCGTACAAATGCTGTGTAGCTATAATAATTGGGAACTGGACAACAATTTAATCTGGTAGATAAAAGGCTTATGGAAATCAGTTTCAGATTTGAAAAACCAATGTATCTTTCCAAAACATCCAGAATGGAAACAATAAACATGAGGTGGAAAAGACCGAGGAGGACCTGCTTACCCACTCTCTGCCCGCTGCCTGCATCTGCTGTTAACACACTGGTGCAGCGCATCCTGCAGGCCGGGGTCCATAGCTGTGTATGTCACGGGCTCCTGGTGGACCTCGCAGCTTGGGTTCCTGCTCAGGGAACAAGGCTGGAGGTGAGGACCAGCACCACCCACGTTCTAAATAGTGGTCAGACAGCCCTCGGGGCAAGCCCTGGCTTTGCCCCTCAGTGGGACCTTGGGCCAATGTGTAACAACTCTGAGCGGCAGAGTGCTCCCCTGTACGTATAACAGGGACAACACAACACACTGATACTCTCTGGGTTCTAGAGAAGGGATTTATTACTATTTAACTGATATTTAAATTTGTCACTGATATAAATAAATAATGTTATGTTACAGATGATCAAGCGCCGTGTATTTATCCCAGGGTTACTTATTAATAAAAATGACTTAAGGTGTATTAAGTGCCTGATACACAGTAGGCACTCAGTAAACATTGTAACTTCCTCACATTCCTGTTTGTGGGCCCATATACTCTAACACTTTTATAGCATTTAAAATTTAACCTCAAAGTGAATTATCATCTTATGGTATTAAAGAATTTGGAATCTGGCTCACTGAACAGTTTCATCACTGAAATGAATCATCATTGTAGATCCCAACCCCCAAATCTAGAAGAGATCCCATGGTATTTGTGATGTGTGTGTGCTCATGAGCATATCAGTATATAGTTATTTTTTTACCGGTTTTCTGCATTGGTGAGGTTGCCAGTGCACTCATTGACCTCTAGAGGGCACTCACAAGGACATTCACATTCGTTTTGTTCCATCCTGCAAAGCAGAAAGTAAGTTACTATGAGGAGGTTCAGTGACAACCTGTGTGATGTACATGGGGAGGAAGTACAAGAAGCCCTGAGCTAGTTTAAAAGGACAGTAAAAAAGCAGTTATAGAGGTCTAAGTACACAGTTGGTCTCAATACACTGCACTGTGGGTCTAGATGCTGCAGACAGTACAGCTCTGGATGCCTTTGTGACCGGGCTGCCCTTCCTTCAGGACACCCTGGCACCTCCTGTCTATTTTGCAGACGCCACTTAAAAATGCCTTGTGTCAGTTCAAATGTAGAGCATGTGATGAGCAGAGAAGCGTTCAGTTCATCTTTACCGGTGACAGTTGAGACACAGGCGGTCCACCATGCTGCAGGCACAGAAGGCCAGGGCGTCACAGGTCTCATTGACGATGCCCACAAACGCATTGGTCCCTGGGATCCTTGCCAGCCTGTACTTGGAACAGTGGCTGCCATGCACAAGGTTCGTCAAATCTCCCTACAGAGCAATCAAGGTGTCAGAAGTGATGAACAGCAGAGAAAAGATGCAGCCTTACCTTGGTGAACATAATCCTTCAGCCACCTGCAGAAAACAGCTTGAAATAAAACTTTCTTTCTGATTACAAAAGTCATTGTTAAAATACAAATACATGCACATACACAGTGTTAAAAATGTAGAAGCTGGCTCGGCACCCGTAACACAGTGTGTACAGGTCAGCCACATACACCAAGGATGGTGCGTTCAAATCCGGCCCTGGCCAGCTAAACAACAATGTCAACTGCAACCAAAAAAAAAAAAAAAAAAAAAATAGCCAGGTGTTATGGCAGGCACCTGTATTCCCAGTTACTTGGGAGGCTGAAGCAAGAGAATCGCTTAAGCCCAAGAGTTTGAGGTTGCTGTGAGCTATGATGCTACAGCACTCTACTGAGGGCAACATAGTGAGACTCTGTCTCAAAAAAAAAAAAGTAGAAGCTAAAAATTACTCATAATTCTACTCAGAGATAATTATCATTTAATAGTTGTATACATTTTATATATTCTTTTATCTCCACTTACGCAAATATAAATTCTTACAGCTGCTTTAAAAAAACACATATCATAAACATGAAAACTTCAAGAAGTAGTGAAGAATAATTTTCAGGTAAAGAATATTTTAAATTTTACTCAAAGGCAAACCTAATTAACCATGAAACATATATTTGCCTTACTTGAGTCTCATACTTTTCTCCTAGAATAATAAATTTAAAAAAAACCAAAGCCTCTTTAAGAGGCCAGTTTCCAGCTTCCAGAATAATTAAACAATCCAATTAAAGCAAGTATCCTTTCTTCTATGTATAATAAGAAAATGTGATAGCAAGCTTCCTGACTCACCAAATTTGTTTACCATGTTAGAAAACCAAAAGCTCAAAAGTGATAACATGGAGCTGTGTCTACGCACTCTCCACATGCATGTCACACACTAGGCAAAATATTTCACCCTTGCTAGTTTCCAGGCCATTCCTCCAATGCTTATGTGCGGGGAGACAAGCCTAACTCTGAAGTCTTGGTGTGAGTGGGTTCTTAAAGCTCTATGTGGATTCCCTACCCGCTATCAGATAAGCATTAACAGGCTTGGCATCTAGTCTGCTCCAAGACCAGGAATGCCCACTTCTATTTGGGGATAACTTGGGCATTAAATTATTCTATTTCATGTTCAATTAAAATTTGCCTTTTTGAAAAGTTTCTGAGTGTCCTGGCTGTGTCTGCTTAACACTCTATAAGCCACTGCACAAAGGGCAGAGACACAGAATGAGCCTACCTGGCAACTTCGTCTGTCAATATCCCATTTAAAGAAAGTGGTGCTTAAACAGTTTGGGGCCTGGACAGGGTAATAAGGTCTTCCCTTCCTTTAAACACACTATTCTATTAATATATTCAGTTTTTAAACTCCTTGCTTTCACCAAACAATTTCTTTTTGCAATCAACTTTGAGACTCAGGTCAGGATTTTCAGATTTAACCAAGTACATTTCTAAAATTAATTTTTAATTGCACAGTTAATGACTCATATAAATGTCTACTCCAAACAAAAAACTTCCATGAATAACTCTTGAATGTTAGTTGTCATGCCCCATTTTAGTTTCTTCCTAACTAGCATTATTTACAAGTTACTAAGAATGTCCTTAAGATCTTCAGCTATAACCAGGTATTTACAGCAACTCAAATTATACAGAGCACTCTGAGCTAGAACAAGAAGCTACTCTTGGATGATTTACAGCATAGGCCCCATCTGACAGGGACAATGGTCAAGACATGAGCTACTTGACCTCAGGAATTGAAGAGACCTGTGGTCTCCCCAGGCAGGTGGGGCAGGAGTGTGGTGGGCAGACTGTAACAGACGTGGCAAAGGGGTTAGGCCAGGTGAGTCTTTCAACATTCAAAACCAAAATAAAGTAATACCACCCGTGAGACCTGAAAAGATTCATTTTTCTTCTTGGGGCTTCCCATCCCACAATTGTCAAATTGGGAACAGGACTAAAACCCGTCTGCTCCTACCACTCAGGTAATGCTCAGACAATGGACAGAAATGATACTCAGACGTGAACCGTTGCTCCAGTTCATACTCGGTGATGGGATGGAGAGGAGCTAAGGAGCCGACTCACCACCAGGCTGGTGTTGAACCTGTAGAACCTCTGGACCGTCCTGTCACTGAAGCTGTTGCAAAGGTTCTTCTTCACGAAGTTGGGGTGGTTGAGGATGTCATTTGCCACCAAGGGCTCCTGCCAAGGCCAAGGAGAACAGAAGACACGAGCTGTGAAGAGCGGCAGGGGCTGGGAGCCAGCCTCGCGGCATCGTGATGGGTACCTTGTGGGTGATGTGCTGTTGCTCCACAGGCGCATGTCCCTTGGGGTCGATGAGGGTCGGGTGGGCCACCAGGTAGCCCCTGTCCTCCATTATGAAGCACCTGCAGCCAGACAAGCCACATCCCTCTTTCACAAAAGCTGCTTTTTAACATGTTCAGAGAGCATTTACCTCACTCAGAGAAATGAATTGCATTTATCTCTGGGGCTCTATAAACTCTTGAGAAAATGAAGTGGTGCTGGTAGGCGTGTAGACAGACACATTATTCCTAAGGGGGTGGGTCACCTGGGATACAGATGAAGGTGACAGGTATGCTGGATTCTGTGATCAGTTCCACAGTTCACACAGAATGTACCCACCCAGTTTAAGTAGGATGGACTCAGAAATCTTTGGCAAGGACTAGGAATGGGAAGTTTGTTCTTCTTTTCTGGGGAGGCAGATTCTAAAGAAAATAGACTTGAATATTTATATCAACAAACTAAACCACACAACTCCTACTCTCTATGACATGCACCCACAAAAAATGATACTCGGAGGACATGTAAAAATGTACAGTTGTCCTCCTTACCTGTGGGGATTCACCTCCCAAGACTCCCCATGGATTCCTGAAGTTGTGGACAGCAGTGAACCCTACATAGACTATGTTCTTCCTTAGACATATATGCCTATGATAAAGTTTAATTTATAAAACTGACACACCAAGAGATAAACAGCAAAAAGTCATAATAAAATACAGCAATTACAATATATTGTAATAAAAGTCATGTGAATGTGGCCTTTCTCTCTCAAAGTATCTCACTGTTCTGTACTATGGGAAAGTGAGACAACGTGAGGGTGAGGAGCACCCTAACTGACAGAGGCAGTCAGTAAAGCCAGAACCGCCTGGCCAACACTAGGCTCTGCTGTGCTTTGCCTTAGTCATATCAGCTTGCCAGGAACCCTACATTTTCCGAAGTCAACAACTCAAAGTCTGGACCATCAGATGGAACTAAGAAAGCTATTTTAAAAAGCAGCCTGTGTTGAATCAAGGGAACATCCTTGCTTTGAACAGACATGTTATTTTGGAAATTCAGGAGGCAAAGACTTTTGGTTCCACGAGGCTGTTTCTGGGGTAATGTACAGAAGCAGCCTAAGCAGCTGAAAATTTACCAAAGACTTCGGTTTAATGACCAAGTTAACATCAAAAGTGTGACCCAAGAATCCCCTCTAGTCTTGCCAGTATGAGAGCTATGGGGAACCTCTAATTACTGACTTCTAGGGAAACAAAAGCTTTAAGCATATTCTGTGCTGCAGTCAGTGTCCTTGTGTGCTCTGTCTGCTTGTCTAAACCACAAACAGGTAAATCTTAGGAAAGGGAAAGAGAGAGAAAGAACAGAAACATCCCTAACAGCACACATAGGCCACAGACTCAGTTTGGGTCCTGACCATAACTTTGGTTCCCACACCGTGGAGCAACTTTGTACAGGGCAGCACCTGCCAAGGGCTAACCTTATCTTGTTGCCGCCATCCTGGTTGCACACGGGGAGCAGATCCATGAGAACCTTGTAGAAGTATCTGAGTGTGAAGTCAATGCCCATCACAGCCACAGTGTGTCCCGAAGATAGCTGTGTGCTGGATGTGAAGAGACTAGTGAGCACACAAGGCACGACATGCGCAAAGGGGGCTACATTCAAATTGCAGGGGTGCTGCTCAGGGTCAGAAATACATTCCCACTGTTCCCCCCGACTTCCCTAGACCCCAAAACAATCAACTAAGTGACTAACGTAACATACAGGTTATGAGACAAAATTTTAAGACTTTCTAAATAAGAGTGGCCTAAAACATGACCAGCTGTGAAATGTGGCTGGTCCCCTGACTTTACAAGTGTCCAGGGTGGCTGGACTGCCTGGGTACAGAGATGTCAAGTGGAAGGGAGGGTACCTGGTTATTCCCAATAGGCCTGCAGACAGGGAGCAGGAGCACTGTGGGAAGCACAAAGTCAAGCTAGTCAAGCTCAAGTCCCCATTATTTCCTTCATTTCCTACACATAAGGCTGTCGAAACCCACCAGCAACAACATCTGCTCTAGCTCTCTTTGGCAACACTAAGGCTGACCCCACTGATAGCTTCTCCAGTGCTGCTCTCAGGGGGAGCGTCAGGGAGAGAGGAGCTGGGCACAGTGCGGTGCCACCTGCCTGGCTCTGGAATCAGGTAGGGCTGAAGTCAGCTCTCGCCTGGTGGCCTCTGGATTGCTGTTCAACCTTCCTAAGCTTTAGTTTTCTCCCCTGGTAATGGGGACAATTGCAGCACCTACTCTGTAAAGCCACTGTTGGGGTGGAATGAGGTTGTGTGTTCATAGTGCTTGGCAAGTAAATGCCTCATCAGAAGTTATGCTGGAAAACCCCTGAAGGGTAAGGCTGAGCTCTCAGGCATGGTCTGAGAACAAACTTACTGCTCTTTCAGAGAAAACACATTTCAAGAAATTGCTAAGTGTGGCAGAAGTGTGGACTCCTCACCTGGACCCTGGTTCTCTTTTCTCCCACTTGTTCCTTTCAATCTGCTCATTGGGAATCAGAAAGGCCTGGGTTATTAGGCCAGTGAAGTCTGCACTCTTGTGGCTGAGATCTTACCCAACACGGAACTTTCTGAGACCCCATTACTTACCATCAGCTACCTGCCTAATTTCTTTATAAATATCAAAAGAAAAATGGTAAAACCTTAATTATTCCCCATAACAATCTTACTAGGCTTATCATTTTTAAAAAACTGAAGGAGAGTAGGTAATATGGCCAAGACCACACAGTGAGAGGCCAGGGGAGGTAGGATTCAACTCAGGGTCTCTACCTCCTTACTGACTTGAAAATTCACATTTTCATTTGGACTGACATGATAAGTGCTTGTAAATAAACCAAATCAGAATTCTCCCACCCATCTAACTCCCAACAAAAGCCTGTGTATGAGCATAAACATCTGGCCTTCCCTATCCTCCGGAACAGAAAGAGTGCTGTGCAGAGGGGAATTGCCAGGTGAGGGGTGCCCAGGGGGCCCCCAACAGCTAAGACCTCCACTACTATTCCCATGTCTTTAAGAGGCCAGTTCTGGCTCATTTTGTTGTAATCAAAGACCAAGGTGACCTCTGTCTCCTGTATGATTAGAGCGCACAGGAGGGACAAGTCTTACTTGTCAGATGTTAGCAGGTGTCTGCCCAACAGATGGCCAGTTAGCGAGAACACTGAGGACCTTGTTCTAAATCTCAATGAGTGTTTATTTGTTTGTATGTGAAACATCACGTTATGGGAGCAGCTGCCAGCACTGGAGACCCAGCAAGGAGCAGGCAGGGTGACAGGCCCCGCCATCCACAGAGACACGGGCAGGCCATGGTGTTGAAGTCCCATGGGGGGTCGGGCTCCCAGTCCTCCCTCCCAGGGAGCTTGTGTTGGAGGAATTCCAGTGAATGTCAGTTGCTTGACACTGAAGGAGCACCGTGGGAAGCGCAAAGTCAAGCTAGAATGTCCGTGTCCTTAGATTTTAGGGCATCATTGCAAGCACTAGTCAAAAATACAGTGTTTCTTGGTTGCAAGGAAAAAATCCCAGCTATTTGTATAAAGAAGGGATTAAAATGATGTGTGCAACTTGCCTCCCCACCTAGCATTTTGTTGACAGTACAATAGTACTAAAACCTCAAAAGTAAGAAATAAAAAAGCACTCTAAATATATTTACAGTGACATTGATACAGCATTCCAGGAAAATTCATTTTCACCAAAAAGCCTTTACATTTCTCAAGAGACAGTTTCACAGACAAACTTTAGAATTATATTAGTTGTTTGTTTTTTTTTTAAAGAGTTAGATCCAAATACAAGGAGGTAATAAATCCAATGTCTTGGCACTTTTCTCTCCATTAAAAATGCTCCTTTGTGTGAGAAAACATTCTCAGCAATGGTAATTGTCAGAGTTCCGTTCTGCCAACTGCTCTGTTAACTCCAAAGCTTTTCTCTTCTTCATAAACCTCATCACAGCTACCCAGGACAGGCCTATGTGCCTGTCACTCACTCTTACCTGCATCCTGGAGGACACCTGGGGGGGTCCCAGGGCTCACAGCAGAGCAGCAACCTCACCTCAAAGGTCAGGCTTCTATCCCTACACTTGCTGTCTGCTCTTCTATCTTAACTTGGACATGCCCTTGATATATTTAAGAAAGGACTAAAACACTCATTGAAATGTTACCTGGAAGAGTGAACTGTGTGACTGATTGTCACCACGTAGCCGGCTCCTCCCACGTCTAAGTAAGGGCCAGTCAAGGAAATCAGCCCTGGGTTAGCTACTGCATGGAGATACCTGGGGACAAAAGAGTCACATCATCTTTGACTTGCACAATTGTTGCAATTCCTACCAAAGAAAGTGAGCTTGTAACTCTACAAATGCTTAATAAAAATTGGGCTTATGTTAGGTTCAAATCTGAAAGGATCCCTTTAAAAGAAGGAATTTTAGATAGTGGGTCCTCTTTTATAAGCAGGTACTAGCCCTGAGCAAGAACGAGACCCCATCTCTATAAAAATCACAAAAACTAGCTGGGTGAGGCTCACACCAGGGTCCCAGGTATGTCGGAGGTTGAGATAAGAGGATCTCTCAAGCCCACCACAGCACGCTAGCCTGGGATACCCTATCTCAAAAAAAAAAAAAAAAAGGACTCAGCATATATCTTGACATTTACCAAGATTTATAGTATAGTATAGATGTTTTAGACTCTAGCAAGGGTGTCCAACCTGAGGACTGTGGGCCACAGGCAGATAATTTTAGGCCTGTGTAGCCTAAAATTGTCAGATATCACAAAAAAGATGCACAGACCTTTTTTTTCTCATCAGCTCTTGTTAGTGCTGGTATATTTACTGTGTGGCCCAAAACAGCTCTTATTCTTCTAATGTGTGGAAGAAAAAAGATGAGATACTCCAGTTTTAGAGACTAAAATAAAAGAGATTAATGAAGCAGAAACAAAATACAGTTTGGCACATTAAAAATGCATTCTGGACTGCTGAGTGGGGGAGGAGGCATTAAGAACACCCAACTTGTGGGTGGCTCAGTAGCTGCTCAGAGCAAGACTAGAATTTCTGCTCTTATGCCCAAGTTGCACCCTCTTCTACAGCACCTGGCTAGCTTTTGTTTATGAAAGTCAGAATCAAATCTCAAAAGAATGTTTCCGAATTTATATGCGTTCATTTTCACAGCATACGCGAGCTGTAATTTTGGTATCCTACTCATGTGCAGTAAAATGAACACACTTTGCACAACGCGGAAATCAAACCACTTGGAATCCAAATCGTGACTTGCAAGGCACTTTAGTCTCAAAATTTCAGTGAAGATATAAAAACCCTGTAGATACAAAAAAACCCATGCATGAAGCTGTCATTCATGCTACATTAAAAAAATAGTATTCAGAAACATTTTCACCATCACAGAAGTATCTTCTAGAGGGTGACTCCCTGAAGTTGCTTTATGATATGTATTTGTCACGTCTCTCCAGGATTTGGGGGAGCCTTTGATACCAGAAGCCCCTGAAACTCACCATTGTCTCCTAGTGGGATCAAATGCTTTGTCCATGAGGGAACCAGGGTAGATCCTGAGGACGCCATTGGGCGTTGCTATGTACCGGCGGACAATGTATGTGTTCAGGCTGCTCATTTCCATCTGTGTCATCCATTCGTCTGTGACGTGGCTGGTGGCCATCACTTCATTTCTGACAGAGAACTGGAAACAAAGCAGGACATAGCAGGAACCTTTAAAACTCATACAGACAGAGTGAGCTGCTGGCAGGCTTCACTGCAGAGAAGCCAAGCCCAGTTACTTAAAAATCTTTCTGCAACAGATGGATGCAGCCCAACTTGGTAGAAACAAAAACTCACAAAAATATACCCAGCAAAGTGTGGTCACTCAGTTTCCGTCCAGCCAGGCTTTCTGAGTTTAAGAAGACATGTCCTACAGTGAGTCACTAAAGAGCCCTTGGGAAATCTTTGCTTCCTTGACAGTATCTATCTCAGCAGCAGGGACGCCTTGCTTCCTTTCCCTGGGAAAGATGAGGCTGGGAATGTGCGACTGGTCTCTAGGTCACACCCTGACCTGGGGAGCCCCCAGAACATTCTTCCCGAGACTCAAGGGCTTCTTAGTCCCTCAGAAGGGTCAGTGCTGCCTAGCGCATGTGATGCCTCTGTTCTCCAGTGGGCAGCACAGGTGCAGGGGGAGGCCTGCCCATTACCCACCTTGAGTCCCGGGTTGGCTATGAGGCGGGTGTTGTCACTGAGGTAGGCGGTGTAGTGTTCCACCATGCGCTTGGTCTCAGGCTGGCTGAGGTGTTCGTAGGGGGAGGAGAAGCTGCCAGCAGACAGCATGACGGTTGGGCTTTCTGAGAAGCAAACACAGCAGGGCCTGAGGACACAGTGACTCCATCTCAGCTGTCAGTGACAGGCTGAGCACCACCACCGAGGAGACAAAGAGATTGAGGAGAAGGAAAGTGCCACATCTCTCCCTCCAAGGGCTCACGTGCCTGGAGCGAACCAGGACAGGGAAACACACAGACAAGCACCAATGGAGGATGCGGGACCCTCACGCTGTCCTGGGCCCACGCACAGCACCCTGTGCTCAGGAGGGGTATGCATGGGGTGGCCTAGACCTGGCTGTGTTAAACCAGGTGAGCTGTGACATAGGTCACATCTACCTCGCCTGCAAAGCACAGAAGCAACAGCACCAAATTTACAGAGTGGAGCAAGAGTTAAGTTCGTGGGATGAGTGGTAACTACCGTCACTCACATTTGTGTTCTTTAAGAAGAGACAGAGACAGAACAGTGGAGCGAAACAAAAACCAAATAACAAATTATTCTTACAGATGAACCTGACATAAACAAAGGCCTGTGGAAACAGAGTGGTCAGCGTGTACGTATTTAACTATTGGTCCCATCAAACAAGAAAACACCCATTTCCTATTTAAGATAAAATCCTCACCGTGAATGAAACAGACCACTAAGTATTAGTCTTTGAGGTTTTCTACCGTTGTTTTTAAAAGTTCTAGAAAGCATGATTGTGAGTCTGAGCTCCTTTATGTCTGGGGGTCACTCTCGCCCTCTGATCAGTTTCACAGGCAGGGTTTCGTTTCCTGGACTTCTTTGTCCAATCTGAGGAATAGGCTGAGGCTTGCAGAAACAGGATTCTTCCCCACAAGGCTGCTGAATTCTGTCGGGTGCCACACTGCAAGGTGAGGCTGGGAGCTGGTGGCGTGGCGTCTGTGAGGAACCAGGACCCGGCACTGTGTGACTTGGGTATTCTGCTAGTCCACAATTGTGCCATTTCACTCAGATGACAGGAATCCCAAGTGAAGGCCTGATTTATGTACAGCTCCCTCTTATTCTAAACATGTAGTCTCTAGGGTCTCTGTAGATTTGGGGAGGGATGGGAGTCTCTGCCTTTTGTGGACTCTGGATCTGAGTTTTGTCACTCTTTCTAGTCTAAGAAGCCACTAAAAGCACAGTTTAATCTCACAAGTGTTTCTTCTGGATGAGTAAATATGTCATTGCAAAAGTGGCTTTGAGTGCCGGCTTTCCTCCCTGGGTCCTGGCGCAGCAATTTCCCACTCTCATGCTGGCTCTTTGATGCTTTCTAAGGAGATTTTAATCCAGGATTGTGTTTCATTCAGGAATTTCAGTTATCCTCAGAATCACCTAATCTGTTATACCCAGAAAATGATGCTTCTGATAACGTTATTTCTCATTTAATTTTATGATAGCTCCATGGGCTACCCTGGGAGATTATTATTATATTAATAAGGACTAATCAAAGAAAAGAAAATCAGGGGCTCAGTAAGTTCATGCTGCCCAGTGGGGACTGTGGATTCATGAGCATGTATCCTGAGGTCCCTCCACCAAGGATGTCCAGGCAGAGTCCTCTGGGATGGAATTTAAGGGAGGGACCCAAACTTGAGCCTCTCACTTGGATCCTCCTCCTACCTGTGCCCGTCTGGCCAGTTTGCCAATAGTCTGATGATTCTTAGTTATTAACTTTTTAAAAACTGTCTTTTCCACAGTGAAGATGAGAGTTATCTGCCCCACTGTGCCGTGAGTGGACCATGGCATTGATAGCACACCCCCTGGGCCTTGTGCGGGCCTGGCACATGGTAGACAGAGGTGCCGGAGCTACTCCTCAGCTTTGCTACCTCCTGTGCTATCTGGGAAAACTCTCCCTGATACATCCAGTGTCCTCATCTCAACTCATGATGAATGAAAACACTGACATAAAATGTCAAATCTTTTTTGCTTCCGTTTAATTATTTGCCTACTCCTAAGCTCTTCTGAAGAGAGGGACTTATAATAAATTACTGTTGGTTTGCTACATAGATTCTTTTTTTTTTTTTTTTTTGAGTTTCACTGTCACCCAGGCTAGAGTGCTATGCCATCAGCTCACAGCAACCTCAAACTTCTGACTTCAAGGGATCCTTCTGCCTCAGCCTCCCGAGTGGAGGCTGGCAAGGAGGGACTCCTTGCCCCTGAGGGACTCCACAATACCCATCTCATTTTTCTATTTTTAGTAAGAATGGGGTCTCACTCTTGCTCAGGCTGGTTTCAAACTCCTGAGCTCAAGGGATCTTCCTGCCTCAGCCTCCCAGAGTGCTAGGATTATAGGCATGAGCCACCATGTCTAGCTGACCAGCCTTGATCTGGAAAAAGAAGTCAATCATTAGGTAGAGGCAGGAGGATTTGGCATCCTGGCAAATTCTTTTAGCTTCTGTTTACTGTTTTTCTTCCCATGCACCTACTTTAAAGCTCCCTCTGTGTACTTACTACTCATGGGCTGTGCCTGTGACTCTCTTCACGGACTGTCTTTGCCCAGCACTAGCAAAAAGCTGAAAGTGACCAGTGACTGCCCTGACCCTAAGAAAGCTGAGTTCTCAAGTCCTTGAGTATAGGCAGCCCTAGGTGTGATTTATACTCCAGAGCTCTGCTGTGAGATCAGGTTGAGTTATAACCGCCCCTGACACTACACTGGTCTGCCCTCACCCCTGCCCTGCCCTGTCCTGTCTCCCCCATATCCTCAATGGCCTCTTCCGAAAGCCTACACTGCCTAAATCACTGCTTACAAATCCTCATCTTGGCAGCTGTTGAGACCCTCTGACCCAAGGCAAAGCTTCAGATCCCTTTCATATGTGTACTTCCAAACCTCCTGACACTGTGGGCAGTTAGCATCTTTCTGGGGGGGTGGGTCTCAACTGATGTGAATGGTGAGCTGCTAGGAATAAGGGCACGAGGAAGCTGCGGCTCACCTAGAGTGGCCAGCTGCTTGAAGTGCAGGCAGGCGGCAGGCTGGCCCAGCAGGTCCAGCCGGTGGTACAGCAGCTTGCTGCTGGGAGCTGTGTTGAGGTTCTTCAGCTGTCTGACAGGTATTTCCGGCTGTATCACCACAATACACAGGATAAAGGAAGTGTCTTGTACCTGTGAAAACCAACAAGGAATTGTAACATGGAAAAGGAAGGAAGGTCTCATGGGATAGGGTCTTTGTGTACGTTACTTTCTGTTGCTTTTGTCTTCTGTTCTCCTGGAAGATGTTTGCTAAGTACATGATGGAAACATGAAGACACAGTAACAGAAGGAATCTAATTTGTTTTTTACTTATCTTTCTTCTTTTTTTTTTTTTTTGGTTGAGGGAACTTAATGTTTGTTAACAGAAAACCATGGAGCTAATGAAAGGATAGGAAAGGGACCCTTTGAAACTGCAACTGTAACCCTTTTTGCTTATGTTGGTTAATGGGCAAAAGCTAGAGCAGAGAATAAAAATATAATTATTTTTATTTGGGTTTGAAATGCACTTAAAGCTGGGTGCAGGGCTCATGCCTGTAATCCTAGCACTTTGGGAGGGCCAAGGCAGGTGAACTCCTTCAGTTCACAAGTTGGAGACCAGCCTGAGCAAGATTGAAACCTTGTCTCTAAAAAACTAGCCAGGCATTGTGTCCACGCACTCTACTGGGGTGGGGGAGGAGGAGGAGAGGAGGAGGAGAAGGAGAAAAAGG